TGTTTGAGCTAAGATTTTCAAGTTATTCACATAATGAAAACCTATAAGTTGTTTTGGCCTTGTTCCTCATTCAAATGCATCGTAAGAAAATCTTGACAAATTAAAGCAAAACTTATACTCTTTTTTTTGTGCGAGAAAAGCACTGGCCACGGTGTAATGTTGATGGACCAGCAACCCAGGCCCTGGTTAAATGCAGATGGCCATAGCCAGCAACATACGACCTTGTGAAATGTTTTTGGCCTAAGCCAGTAGCACAGGCCCTGGTGTGGAGAAGATGGCCTTTCAAGAACCGCTGGCCCTGGTGTAATGTGGATGGCCTCATCTAACAACATGGATGAAATATGGATGGTATTGTTAAGCACCACACATCCTGGTGAAATGTGGATGGCATCAGCCAGTATCACAGGCCCTTGTGTAAATTGGATTGCATCAACGAGTAGCACAGGCCCTGGTGAAATGTAGTTTGCCTCAGCCAATAGCAAAGGCCCAGCAGAGTGAAGCTGACCCCCCACCCACTTGAAACGTAAAGGCAAATAGGCAAGCTGACCCCCCACCCACTTGAAACGTAAAGGCAAATAGGCGGAGCGGTTAGTGCTACGTTTGTGCAGATTTGTGCAGGTAAAATGAGCGTTTGTGCTGCTACGGTTTTTGAGATATTAAACATTATTTTATAGGTCATTCAAAGGTCACTATCCCCCCAGACCGCTCCAAAACGGGCCAAAATGGTCTACTTCTTTAGTGCTACATTTGTGCTGATTTGTGCAGGTAAAATTAGCGTTTGAGCTGTTACGGTTTCCGAGATATTAAAAGTTATATTTTTTGCTGATGACATCACCATCCCCCCAGACCGCTCCAAAACAAACCAAAATGGTCTACTTTTTTAGTGCTACGTTTGTACTGATTTGTGCAGGTAAAATTAGCGTTTGTGCTGCTATGATGTGAGATATTCTGTTATGGTGTTACTGCTGAAAAATGTCTTTTTCAAGTGACCTTTCACTTTGTGTGTTCACTTGTTCAATAAAGTTCTGTTAAAAAAACCCTCGTTGTATTTAATCAGCTAAATTTGTAATGAGTGTATTTTTTTTTTAACTTCAATTTCTTTACTTCAATCACTTTTTGTTCATAAAACCACGATGCAAATGCTTGAGTATTTATTTTTTTTTAGTGTGGATTAAAAACCTTTATTGAAAACTACATTTGAACATTTTACACTCCCATGAACACTTTTTGAGAAACGAACAAGCTAGCAGT